AGAAAGCCAACTGTATCCTGGGCTGCATCAAAAGCAGTGCGGCCAGCAGACCAAGGGAGGGAATTCTACCCCTCTATTCTGTCCTCCTGAGACCCCACCTGCATTCAGCCCTGGAGTCCCCAGCACAAGAAGGACATGATTATATTAGAACAAGTCCAGAGGAGGGCCACGAAGGTGATCAGAGGGCTGGAGCACCTCTCCTGTGAAGAAAGGCTGAAAGAGTTGAGGTTGTTCAGCCTGGAGAAGAGAAACCTCATTTCAGCCTTGTAGTACCTAAAAGGATACAAGAAAGCTGGAGAGGGACTCTTTGTCTGGGAGTGTAGTAATAGGACAAGGAGTAATGGCATTAAACTAAAAGATGGTAGATTTATCCTAGTTATTTGGAAGAAATTCTTTACTCTGAATGTGGTGAGGCACTGGAACAGGCTGCCCAGAGAAACTGTGGATGCCCTATCCGTGGACGTGTTCAAGGTCAGGTTAGATGGGGCTTTGTGTGACCTGGTTTAGTGAGAAGTGTCCCTGCCCATTGCAGGGGTGTTGGAACCAGGTGGTCTTTGAGGTCCCTTCCAACCCAAACCATTCTGTGATTTCATGATTCTATGAAAGCTGTGTAGTAGAAGATAAAGTTTTGCAAATACATTTTGGTCAAGGGTCGGGTGAAAGATCCATTGTCTGTTCCTTGGTCCAGGCTGTGCAGCATACTGGGGTAAAAGTGCTCTAGACATAATCCTGTACTGTCTTGGGAAAGGGCTAGGATAATTCCACAGGTATTTCCCCTCTCTTCTTTGGACCTGCAATGGGTTGTCAACTCTAGGAAGGAGTGACATGTGAGGCACAGGGTGCTCCTCTTGGAGCTAGGGCCTCTTTGCTGACTTGGGGCTTATGATGATGAAGAGAAAATCTTCAACACATTTAAATGAAAAATAGAATCCCTCTCAGTTATTCAATGATGATGTTTTTTACTTGAATGACTAGTTTTCCACACATATCTACAAATCAAGCTGTAGGTCATCATTCATTGTTCCACTTACCCCCAGAGGGAACACAGCATTTTTGCTCTAGCTGTGCACTGCCCATCACCCAGGAGAGGAGCTTCCTGTCTCCCTGCACATGACAGTGCCAGTAGGTCTGGACACATGTTCCTCACCTCCTCTTTCAGTTGCCCTTTTTTTTTGTGAGTCCAAGGGATGCTGAACACCGAGGCAGGCACTAAGATGCTTTTTCTGTGCTTTTATTCACTCTTGGGTCCCTAGGTAAAAGTATGGGAACATTAGGTAGCTACTGAAGATGAACTAAAATAAGGCAAAACTTTGTTTCTCAGGAGGTGATAGTGAGGGGAAATGATAACTCAGACATTTTACTACTTCTATGATAGTGCAATGAACTACTGTCAAAAGACCAGCTGTTCTACTACAAGCAGTGCAATCTACCCAGTTCCACTATAGGAAAATATGTGTTGTGTTTATGTATTTGTACTACATTGGACATTTTAGACCATATCTTGCTAAAGGGAATATCTGGCAAAGTAATTCTAGGAGCATTTTTCTCTCCCACTTGCATGCATTTGTATAGCAAATAAACTAGCGTTTGGAAAGTAGTGTTTTTTGTTTTTTTTTTTTTTAGTTTGATTTATATGCAATGTCATAAAAGATTCAGTATTGGTTGAAGGGCCAGCTCTTCAGAAAAGGGTAAATCTTACGTCTCAACAATGATTCGTAAATCATTTGTGTATGCAGATTGATGCAGAAGGCATCTGGCCAAATGCTGCATTTGCTGAAAATCTGAAATTTGGAACAATTAAAACTATTTGCAAATTAGCATGAATTTGTTTAAGACAATATTTTTTAAACAAGCCTAAGTATTTCCTTGCTGCATTTTCATATAAATGTTTTGTAAGTTCTAATCAAAATTTTGTTCAGAATTTCTTTTTAATTTAGTTCTTAGGGATTTGAAAAATACTAAAATATAAATGATAAGCTTGTGGATGAGTTCCTGTTTTGAAAAATAATGGTGTTATATTTCACCATAAAAACTTCAGTTTTCTGAAATAATGATTCTCTGGTTTAGGAGATTTTAATGGTGTTCTCCAGCTAAACTGAAATAGCTTTTGTACAGCTCCAAGAACCTGATGAATACAATAACTGAAATGAGTAAGAAAATAACTGAAATATTGTGGTCATACACACAAATACTAGAATAAAAACCTGCTTTGCCTTTCACTTTAGTTTCAAGATGTAATAATTCTAATCATAGCTTTTCCCAATATTATTGGCAGTGTATAATTTCTCACTTCCCAAGTGATTTTAACAATGGCAGATATTCAGTATCTGTAAGTAAACACTGAAAATCACTTGCTTCATTACACTTCTGGGCCATTAAATATCTTCTTTCATCTATCTATTTCCTCTCTTCTCATTGCCTCAGCAATGTGACTCCATCGGGCATGTGGTATCTTTCCCAGATCCTTTTCTGGACATAGTGTAGTATGCAGGAATGTAGTTTGTCAAACACATTGTGTTTGAAATCCTTTGTTGGTAGCAGTGGAGAGAAAGGGATTATAAAATGCCTCAAAACTTTCAAAAAGGCTGTTCCCAGGTTTCTTATATCTGTTCATCCATATACAACATTCATACCTCACTTTTATGTATGGGATGGCAGAGTACAGTATCATGCATATAGTATAGTATAGTATGTTGTGTATTATATCTTCAATAGCATCTCTTGTGCAGGCTACAGTTTGCAGAGAATTTTGCACTTTGACAAGTTTTTATACTCATCCATGCTAACACAGCTTAGAGAGAAATAATTTGTTTATGATGTTGATTTTCATACATTGAGTTTTAAGATTCTGATTTTTTTTATAGGGGAGATCAACTAACCTACCCAGTCTTACTGGTGATGTGTTTTTCATTGTTCTGCTAATATAACCTTTCTGAAGTAAAGTCAGGCAGTGCAAATAACTTCTGAATCTGTTAGCTTCTGTCAACCTGAGCCAATCTGACTTTCTGGAACATTTCCTTCTTCAAATTTTGTACACAAATTTTATTAGTAACTGGTTTACATGCTAATCCTTTCATTTATGTTTGATTAAAAACTATTCTGTATGCTGAGTTTGTCATAAAAGTTTGTAATAAAATCTCAATACTTGGTTTGAAGTATTTGATTTGATAGTGTGAGATCAGCCTAAATGCAAAGGCTGTGCGTGTAGATACCAGAGGTGGCAGATGTGTTCATGTGACTTCTTTAAGAATGAAAAGGGAACACAGAGATTGTTTCCACCTTTGGAAGCAAAAACCTTGCAACAGCCCTGAAAAAAGAAAAAAATATATATTTATAATACATCATCACTGTCAGTTTAGCTTGAACATTTTCCATTGGAATTGTTTTGCAAAATTGGCCTTTAATAGGTAGAAATAGCCATGGTACAAAGTGGCAGACGAGCTGCTGAGTCTACAGTGATCCTCCATTCACCAGTGTTTTGGGGAATACATGTTGTTTTCATGGTAGTAAGCCGAGTTACGTTGTGAAATCTCGGGCAGTGATACTCTAAGAGAATTAATCTCTCCTTTCCAGGTCAGAAACCCAAGGGGAAGTCTGGGAAGGCTTTGTAATGCAGATTTAGCTGACCTTCCTTCACACTAAGAATGCTAGATGCTGACCCACAAGGACTGAGTTAAATATTTCTGTGAATATGTGGGATTTTAATTAACATGGTAATGAAAACCTCTAAGAACATCAGGCACATTAAATATCTAAATCACTTGTATAGTTCAGAAAGCTAAAATTGGACTTAAGATGACTAAGAAATTAATGTAGTCAAAGAGAAAAGGAGTAGCAGGTTTGTTGAAGATTGCCTGCACTTACTGTGGATAACAGAGATAATTGAGTTGTATGGCAAAGAGCAAAGAAATCCAACCAAAAATGCTTAGATATAAGTTTTGGTGGATGCATCATCTGAAAAACAGATTTTATGTGTGACAGAGTATACAGCACATTAACAGGCAAATGAAAATGAACCAGGCATTAACAATCATTACATTTATTCATAAAACAAATAGCTGTGAGCTTAGTTATTGAACTCTTATAATCACCAGTTGCACAGACAACTTCCTGGAGTATCCTGAAGTATCCTTTTAATCCATTATATTTTCATGAAAAATTAGAATATGGAGATTCAATAGGGAGATCAAAAGTAATGGGTTTCTACACGCAGAAAAACACCCTATATTCTATAGCAATGCTCACTGTGTATGCCCCAAGGAAGGTACATGTATATACCACTAGCCTCAGTATACTGCCAAATTTCTCGTATCTGTCTTTTCCTTTTGAAATGAGAATTTTTATAAAGATATAAATAAAAACAGCCAATCCTACATGCATTTTCCGTTCTCTTTTCATTTTTCAAATACTTATATTTGAATTTGGAAAATAGATTCTGCAATTCTATAAGTGTGGAAAGTTAGGGTCATGGCACTGAGCCTGCCAGATTTCAAGAAGTATTTGGACAACTCTATCAGACATAGGGTCTGTTTTTTGGGTTGGTCCTGTGTAGAGCCAGGAGTTGGACTCAGTGATCCTTATTGGGTCCCTTCCAACCCCCAGGATATTCTATGATTCTACGTTTCTAAGTCCAAGTAGACAATATCAGCCACTCTCCCCTCATCTACCAATCAAGTCATTTCATTGTATAAGTTTATCAGGCTGGTTAAGCATGACTTCCCCTTTGTGAACCCATGCTCAAAATATACATTACTGTAATGTGTAAAGCGTGAAATAGAGCTGCAGTTGATCATAGGATTGGTTATTTTGTCATTCATTACACTGTTTTGTTGATTGTATATGTCTTTTCAGCTGCATTATTTTGCCTTGTGGAACATGGTCCAGATGCAAAATTAAGATTAGAATGACAATGAAGGACAGGATGTGTATAATTGGTGATAATCTTTTTGCAAGTTTATTTCAGTACTAATATTTTCTATTCTTCTTTCTTTCTTTTACAGAGGGTATGAACTGTATGAACAAAGATCATGGGTGTGCACACATCTGCCGGGAGACACCCAAAGGTGGGGTTGCCTGTGAATGTAGGCCTGGCTTTGAACTTGCCAAAAACCAGAAGGACTGCAAATGTAGGTAGATAAAGATTAAATTTCAAATGCCCACAAATGTCTTATTTTCTTCATTGTTGTTATTTTCCAGAATTCAAGAAATCAACTTTGTTTTGGCCAAAGGTGATTTGTAATTTTAGTAGTGTGTTTTTTCTGTCAAAGGTTTACTTCGGTTTGGATAAGAGGGATCAAATAACAGAACTTTGGCAGTGAGCCTGTTAGCAAAGTGTTATCAACTTTTGTATCTTCCTATGAATGCAGGAAGTGATAGATAATTTAATCTAGATTTTCCTTGTAAAGCAAAACAAACAAACAAGCGCATAGAAGATTCTAGCTTTTGGAGGTCCACAATGATGGATACATTGATAAATGTACTAATAGGTTTAATGATAAATCTGTTACAGCCATCATACTATCAATGTTAATTCCTCTTTTTTAAATGACAGGAATGTTTGCTCTACTGCTGATTCCACTGCATACAGGCTACTTTTACTGATATAACTCAGCAGTATCAAATGTACTATTAGTGATGTATTCTAGAAGTTGAGATACTGAAGATATTCATCAGCCCACAAAATTGGAAGCTAGAATTGTTCTGTATAGGTTAAAATAATTGACCCTCTATAACATCTTCATCTGAAAGCTTCTGAAGTGCATGGGAGTCTTTCTTATGGCTTCAGTGAGTGTTAGGTCTGACTCCAATAGCTTCCTTTCCTAGCTGGTAGCTTTGTGAGAGAAATAAATAAATAAATAAATAAATAAATAAATAAAATAGTGCAATAAAATGATTAATGAATAAAATGAATAAAACACATTTTGTACTTTGCATAGGGCCAGTATTTTTGTGCTACCTTTTCTTCCACTCCAGCTTTTTTCTACCTGAGATCTCCACTGTTTAAACAAGCTTAGATAATACTTGTTCCTAAGTATGAATTCAAAAGAATCACCTTTGAATGTGATCAAGAAGTCCCACAGGATACTGTACAGTCTGATTGCTCCTCCATGCTTGTGAGGCTACACAAGGCCAATGGCAAAAACATAGAGAAAAAAATGCCTCTATGGTCATTTTCTTTCCCAGTGTTTATTAGAAGCGAACATTGCATGCTGTTAATTGCAGTGCAAGATCAGCTACATTGGTTAAGTTGGAGAGGATGTTTATTTATACTGTTTATTATTTGTTTCCACGAATTCGTACATTCCTTAAGAATTATATTATCCTTTTTCATAGTGAGATGATGACAGGAGAAATAGGGCCTCTTCTGGAAAGATATTTCTAAATGCCTCAAAGTTTAATAGATTAAAATACTTGAATTTACTCATTGCCCTGCGGTGTTCAAATGTTAGTTTGATTTATAAAGAACTTTTGCTGACAAGCCTCTATGTAGGAACACAGAGTTTTTCAAGGCCACAGATCTTGCTGCAGAATACACCAACCCCTAAAATCACAGCACATTCTGCAAATGTTCCAGAGTATTGCTTAAAATAGTCTTACTACTAGCCCTTCCATATGCAAAGATACCTAAAATTATAGCCAGATAGCCGAAGACAACAGTTGTGAGATTACAGAAGACTATTTATAAAGGTTTAGTACTGAAACAAAATCTTGACATTAAAAAAAAAATAAAAATTACAACTAAGCATTTCAGTGGAATTAACTTAAATCCTGAGCTGAAACTTTGCAATTATTGCATACATGAAGAAGAACTGAAGAAGAGATGCCTGCCCCTTGGCAGTCTGGACTGGGTCTATACCCCTGGTATACAGGGATACAGACTGGTAGTGTCTGATATACTGACTGTCCTCTCAAGTATTCTGGTTTATAATGGTCCATGAAACTGTGCCTTTCAGTGTTTGACAGAGCTTTCTTACATGTTTGTTTGTTTGTTTATGTGAGGAGATGACAGATAACCAATGTGTCAATAAGTGATTTTTTTATCAGTCACTTTGCCAATGAATCACAATACTGAGAGGAATTTTCAGAATTGGCCCAAGTCCACTCTAATGTGGCATGTTTTTCAGTTAAAAAAAAAAAAAAAAAAAGGTAAAAGAAATTAGAAAACATAAAAAAATGGAAGAAAGGCTCCCAGCTTTTAATGCATGCATTACATGACTGTCATTACATCCTAATTACATGATCACACGTCACCTGGTCATATTCCATACTAATAAGGCAATCACCAATAGTGTCTTGCTTCATTCAGTGTATGTCATGGTCAGTGCTCATTAAATAGGCTTTCATTCAATAGTTTCCTCTCCTTCATAACTCATTGTTATGCCTTGCTTGCTACACAGTGTTCAAAAGCTATTCTGAACATAAGATTTTAAATTTCCTCATGGATTTTCCCATGATACTCATTACAGTAATATCAGAGCGCTCCATAGGCATTGTTAATATACTTTCATAACATTCTTGTCAAGTTAAAAAGTACTGTTTTGCCTATCTTACAAATGGGAGAATAATGTAAAGGTGTTAATGTCAAAGTCATTTAGTAGTGATAGGTGATTAACCAGAAACAGCCATGTTGTGGTTTAAACTGTTTGGCAGCTAAGCACCACACAGCCATTCGCTCACCCTCCCCCATCCCTCTTTGGGATGGGGGAGAAGATCAGGAAAATGAAGCCTACGGGTTGAGATAGAGACAGTTTATTAGGACAGAAAATAAAATAACTAAACTAAACTAAACTAAACTAAACTAATAAAATAAAATAAAATAAAATAAAATAAAATAAAATAAAATAAAATAAAATAAAATAAAATAAAAATGATAATAGTACTGCTAATAATAATGTATACAAAACAAGTGATGCACAATGCAATTGCTCGCCACCCACTGACTGACACCCCCCAGCCAGCCACCCCTGTGTATATATATATATATATATATATATATATATATTGTTTGGCATGATGTCAGATGGTATGGAATACCCCTTTGGCCAATTTGGGTCAGCTGTTCTGGGTCTGTCCCCTCCCAGCTCCTGCTGCACCCCCAGCCTGCCCACTGGCAAGACAGAGCTAGAAGCTGAAAAGTCGTTGGCTTAGTATAAGCACTGCTCTGTAGCAATTAAAACATCAGTGTGTTATCAACATTCTTCTCATCCTAAATCCAAAAGATAACACCCTACTAGCTACTAGGAGGAAAGTTAACTCTATCCTAGCTGAAACCAAGACATCCCAGAACACAGTTCTGCATTTGTAGCACTTAGTATGGTCAAAGCCAAGCCCCCAATGGCTCCCATTGTAGTCTCAAATGCCATGGAGAAATGAGTATTATACTAGAAGCCTGTAATAGATGAGATACTTGTGGATTGCCAAGCACTAAGTAGGATTTCCATTACAAGGGCAGAAATTGAGATCTTTATGGGCTGTTATCACTGCATCAAAAGACCATCCTCTCTTGGCAGTGAGGCAAGGATTCTCCAGCTGTTTCCACAGACCTGACTTTCCCACCTGTGCAAAGAAAAGACAGAAATGTTGTCTGCATTTGTCAGTAAGGATGGTTATCATGATACAATAAGTCTGTGCACCAAAAGTCTGGTATTTTTTAGCTTTTGAATGCTTAATATTGCAACAGTAGTGTTTTCTTAATGTTAATTTTAAACATGTAGTTTCTCAGTTGCTACCCTAGGAAAATACAGAAGTATTGAGGCTGGAAGTGATGTCAGAAGGCCATCTAGAAATGCACCAGGCAGAACCATACATAATATCTCAGCAAAGCTACATCCTTTAGATCCAAAACAGTAGTAAACTATCATCTTCTGTGCTTACATGCCATTAGAAGAAGAATATGCTTTGTCAATGATTTTAATGGGTACTCATTGGCAGCATAAAGATAAGACTTACGCATAGTGAATTTGGTTCCAGATTACAGTGGAAAAACATTGGAAATGACCTCTACTATCTAAATCCGTATCCATGATAAATTTTAAGGTCTTGTGCCCATGCATGATAGCATAGCTTTTTGATAAAGAGATTTTTTTTTTCCCAAATATGGACAAATCAAGGCATTTTTTGTTAGTTACCTGGATCATTTTTGCTGGAACTTGAGGAAATATGAAGAAACCTAAAGCAGGTACACATTCATGCAAGTCGTAACCTAAAAGAAATAATGCTGGCAGAGTTATAACCAAGTGGAAGCTGAGTCTTTTAATGAAGAATACTAGATAAACCTAACTACAGTTATTTCTACCAACCTCCTCCTATAATAATTGAAGAGGAGGGCTAGTGCTAAGTAATTCCAAAAATCCTGTCTAGTATGTTTGCAATAAAATGCCCTCCCACCTAGGCCTAGTGGCAGCTTTTCAGCTTCTGCTGACAGTTTCAGCTATTTGCTGTGCTGCATTCATAGCTTTATCACATAGATAGAGATGTCCGTGTATTTATATAAATTATATATTAATTATATATTCAATTATATATTAATTATATATTCAATGTCCAATTTAGTTAAAAAACACTGCAATTTTTAATTTATCTGGAACTGCAATACACTGGTTTGATCTATCTGAGAAAGCCATGTTTTCACATAGTCTATTGCAAAAACAAAATTTGCTGCAAATTTTGTGACATCTGAGCCATGGTATATACCTCATCTACACATATACAAGATGAGGAGATCATTGTCTTAGGAAATTTTAGGGGTTAGTTGGTACTAAATACTAGATTCAATATTTGTCCATACCTTTTCCAAATGTTCCTTATCATGGGCATGACAGATGGAAGAGACGGAAGAGACCAGAAAAAAAATGATACCAAAGTTCAGAGAAGCACTGGAAAAGTGTTCCAGGTGTTTTAACATGGAAGGTAGAAAATACCTTTTTTTCGTGGAATATTCATGGCACAGTTTCTTTTTTTCTTTAATGTATCATTTGTCGTCCAAACAGTAATCTCTTGTTCTTCATCATCAAAATGTCATTTCAAGACTAGTCTATGGATGTAAGCACTGGCCCAAATGCAAAGCTCAGGAGTGCTTAGCACAGCCCAACCAAACAGAGTAAATTCTGCTGTTACACAGAGGCAGGTGGATAGTTTGGGAGATCATGCCATGCAGCCGGCCTGCAGGCCCTGAAGGGTGGCTGGCCAGTTCAGGAGCCTGAGTGTGATAGTCAATGAAAAGAGTAAATCTTATTTGAATGCAGTCTGAAACACTGGTATCATGGCTTTGGCTCAGGATGCCCTATAGCTCTTAATTCACAGTAGAATGTTGGGAGAACAGACCGGTAACTTGGCCACCTGCATTAGCCATGTCTTATAAATGGCGTGTATCTCTGAAGGGCTTATATGTTGTTTCTGCTCATGTTAATAGCAGGTGTGAGCAAAGCCTTCTCTATCTGGTACTAGTTTTCATAGAAACATAGAGTCATAAAATATCCTGGGTTGGAAGGGACCCACAATGATCATCAACTCCAACTCCTGGAACTCCTGGCTCCACACAGGGCCAACCCAAGAGAGCATTGTCCAAATGCTTCTTGAACTCTGGCAGGCTCAATGCCATGACCACTGCCCTGGGGAGCCTGTCCCAGTGCCCGACCACCCTCAGGGTGCAGTACCTTTCCCTAACACTCAGTGCAATCCTCCCCTGTCCCAGCTCCATGTCATTCTCTTGGGTCCTGTCACTGTCCCCAGAGAGCAAAGCTCAGCACTTGCCCCTCCACTCCCCTCATGAGGAAGATGCAGAACACCATGAGGCCTCCCCTCAGCCTCCTCTTCTCTAAGCCAAATGTACAGAGTATTTCCCCACAAATGGAAAAGCCATTTGGCCTATAAGATATTCAGAAAACTCTCTCTATCTGTATCACATATTTTAATTACCATGACATAAATACTAAGAGAACAAGTCCAGCATCTTGATTGCACTTAAGATACATGTGAATGCTGATGCAGTGTCAAAAGCAGTGGTGTCATTCAGGTTTTAAATCTGCAATGTGGGGATCAGTGTATCTGAATTCTAATAGATACTTGTATACTCTCTTTTGGTAAAACAAAATAAAACATTACTTAGTATTTTACATCCTTTTAACTCGATTTATAGTGTTTGAAGATAATCTGTGTCCATCAGAAGTTACCATTTTGTCCTTTTTCATTTGCCTCTTCAATGCCACAAACTTAAAGAACACACACATAGTCTGTTGCATAGCTGTAGAGTCCAAATTTGTAAGAAATAATTTTTAAAAGAACACTTTTTTCTCATGAATTTGCTTTAATGCTTTCTGATAAAAATGGAGTCAATCTGGATGTCCCTTTGCTCTTAAGTATTTTTCACGATTTACAAATATTTGTAAGAGACAGTAAAAGGAACTGACCTAAATTGTACATTAACTTATTGGGTAGAGCAGGAACCAGTATTCCTCTAACTTTAGTATACAAGGAAACTATAAAACAAGTGTGTGATTCTGCAGGATGTACTATAAACAGCATCAGACAAATGTAAGGAAAAGTCCATTATGTTATGTGGATCAGAGTAACTGTGTTAAGATACTTTCATCTCTTCCAGTGGAGGTTTTTAGACTTGAGTGGAGGTTTTTAGTTTTTTGACTGCACTGCAGTCAAGTTGTCTGAAGTGTACACATTGTTGCTGATTGCACTTTAAAATAGTTAATAAAAATACTGTTGGTAATATATGTATTTAAGTATCTGGCATAAACAGCACCTTTAAGTTAATTTGTGATAGCACTGCAGTCCAACAGGAATGGAAACATTGAATGAATCTCCGAGTAGTCCAAGAGGCGTGCAGGGTTGAGAAGGAGGGGAAGATAGGTAAATGAAAATTACCTTGCCTTGAATTAGCTCTGCCAGTGTGCACCCTTTACCATGAATACTGCAAGCAGTTGCCTTCTGCACCACTTACAGCTCCTGGTTGATCACATCCCAGACACAGCCAGCCAGAAGATCAGCTCACATTTGCAGTCAGCCTGCAGCCACCTGATTTCAAATATCCTCTGCCTGTAACTGTACCTTTCAGTTAGGCTGTAAAATAGTATTACATCTACTCCCAGATTAACAAAAAAGTGTTACTGTTCTGCACATCATGTGACATAGAGAGGGAGCCACAAGAAAAAGACACACCAAAAATAATTGCAAATCAAAGAGTGGAGAAAAAGAAGTGAACGAGGACAGGCATAGTGTTGAGCAGGAAAATGATTTTCATCATGACTGCATTGAAAAAGTGGGAGTTTTAAGAAGGAAGAATTGACTAAAAATTTTAAGTTTTTGTTTTGCATCAAAAATAAAAGCGTAATTGTTACTGTGTATTGAAAAAAAAATGTTGCTTCAATTTGATGCAAAGTAGAATGGTTTTCTTTAGGTATTTTTTCAGAAAAACAAAACAACGGTTAGTTATACAACAGAAGAAAGAGATGAAATGACTGAGGGTGGTTGCTGCTTGGAGGTTTTTTTTAATGTAATTCTCTGGAAGCATAGGATTGTTATGATTTGAATTAATTCCCTCCTCTATCTGGTGGGACTGGACCCACAATTCCCATTTTGCAGCCTAGTGCACTGTCAGGCTCCAGTAAAAAAAAAAAAAAAAAAAAAAAAAATCAAGCTGCTGTCCATCTTTCTCACCACCATTCTTTTCAGTTGGGTAAAATACTAGCATTCATGGAAGGAGAGGCAGGAATCCAGGCAGGCCATCTTCTTAGGGATTGTTTTGACTACACCAAGAGATTATTCTCTCACTATCTCTCAACATCACAGGGATTTTGTTCAGGTTGTACAATGTCAAGGACCAAGAATGCTTGTACCCAGAAAAGCCTCTGGTCTACACTCACTTAGGAGAGGGACAATTTCTGTTGTGACCTTAACCAGACTTCAAGAACTGTTCACATAAACTAGAGGTTCCTATGTTGTCGAGAGATCTAATGGGAATTCTATTGGATATGGTGAGGTGGTCTCCCTCAATTTCTTTTGCTAGAAGTGTTCCATTTTATGCAAAATACTTCAGTGGTTACTGAGAGTGCATGACTTCGGCACATGGGACACTCACAGCAGATGTGAGATATTTCAATTACCGATACTATTACTAGAAATTCCAGTCTACTTCATTTTAAGAAGCTAGTGTTAAAGCAGAGTTACTGAGGTCACTGGGAAATTTTGAGTTCAGCTCTGTTGGATTAAGTAGAAGCACAGTTTAGATTTAGATCCCCAATTTTAAAATCCTGTTAACTATTATCTTAGTTTTATGGTATATTGCAATTTGCTACCGTGGCTCTTATATAAACTCTCTTATCTAGGAGAAAATTTCTGCTGAAGACCAATGTGAGGAATTTCATTCTGATTAATAACAGTCAGTATTTAAATTACTCTAACATAACAGAATATCTAAGTCCTCTGAAATTTCTAAGTATATATAATCATACATTGAATTTCCCCTGTATCTGGTAATAAAAATATATCCATAAAGAGTCCAGTCCAAAATACCTGTATATAAAGACAATAAAGTGAATTCAGAGCTGGCTTGTTCAGCATCAAGCTATGTGACTGCAAAAGATTAAACAGAACAGGGGAAAATTAGAGACATTGTATACCAGGTTTATATTTAAAAAAATAGTTTGTCAGAAATTAAATCCATCAAGTGGCAAAAAATCAATCTATTAATTCTTGTAAACTTCAAAACTGTACCTGTCAGGAAAAATGTTTGCTTTAATGTATATTTAGTATTTTTTTTTGAATAGATAACATTTTAACTGCCAAAAGCAATTTTGCACTGTATACTTGTAAGTAAAAGCGACCTTTCCAATGCTTTCTCCCTAGTAGAGGCCAGTACACTGTGGGGCCATATTAACATTATATTTTTTGTCTCAGGGAAGAAAAAAAAAAAAACTGCTTTATTTAAAATGTTCTTCTACTCTAGGAGGACCACTACTTGAAACAGTAGATTTCAAGTCTTATGTGGTTCTGTTCTTGCTGTTTGGTCTCTGCTTCCTCTACTTAGAAAGTAAAGAAGAACAAAAAGAGAAAGTCTGTCTATAGACTCTGTATTAGGAGACTGCTCATTTCTTTCTGCCACATACATCACAGATGTGTACATAAAAGCATATAGCTGTTAGGAAGAGATGAAATTGGCTGACCACTCATGCTAAAATTACTAATAAAAATAGACTGGTGGAAAAGCAGCACATGCTTCATTTTTCTTTCTTTCCTTTTCTTCACTTCATGGATTGAATAAGTAAGGCATGAGGCAGGAGCGTGACTAAGACAATGTGGCTCAGAAAGAATAAAGAATGCAAATAACTACAAATAAGAATGTTATGTTGCCTTATGTCTTGGTTTGTTACTGCTCTTCTGTATTCTGAAAGGCCCTTAAGACTAATTGGTTTCATTGTCATTTTATTTATATATACATATATACTCATTCATTTGGGGCTTAATTAGTAACCTGTAACTATGGGAATGGAGGCTGCCAACACACCTGTGATGACACTGATACTGGTCCTGTGTGTGGTTGTCATCAGAAGTATGCCCTACATTCAGATGGCCGAACCTGCATTGGTAAGTACTTCTCTGCAGCACATTTTATTTCATATTCCTCGTAGAATACATATGTGCACATAGGTGTGTGTGTGTGTGTGTGCGTGCACATGTGTGTGTTTGTATCTCCCAGGAGTTTAGCATCATTGCTGAGAGAAGTGTGTAACAGCAGTTCTTGGCCATAACAGCAAAGATCATGCTATGTATAAAGAGAAGCATTTGTGTGTTTTGTCAAAATATTTGCTAATGAAGTATCCCTTTGTTACTCTTCTTTAACTTTTATTTCTTTTCATTACTCTAATATTTTTTTAATGAAAAGGTGTAGAACTTTCATAATTATGTATGAAAGTTTCATTACATAAATAGTATGAGAGTTCATCTCTTCTGTTCACTTTCATGAGTCAGACTTCCTTGTGTAAGTAAGGTGAGGAAAATGGTCACGTTTTTCTAAGCTGTTACTGTGGAAAATGAAACATCGTGATGTGCTTTCTTCCCTGATGTATTTTTTATGATTCTAAAAATTACAGCACTTGTAGCGAATATGCTTTCATTAGATTATCAGTAGGAAAGCCATTCAAGAGACAAAGCATCTTGGGAGATGTTATGCAAACATTTATGATTATAAAATATATTATTTGCTTAACACTGTTTCTTTCTACTCCCTGCATTTTTTAAATAAAAAGGGATATTTTTGCACAATGTAAGTTAGAATTCAAAGATTCTTACAGGCTAGAGCCTAAAATCCATAATGGCTTTCATTAGTATTGTGGTCTTTTTGACTTTTTTGTTTGTTTAATTTCAAGTTCTTATGAATTCCTAATAATTTCCTGAGGTTAAGAATAAAAAATAAAAAAATGGACATGTTTATCATCTTTTCTCTCCTTTGTCATTACTGCAAGACAAAGCACTTGATCTAAAATCCATGGAAATCAGTCAATTATCTTTAGTGATCTCTTGATCAGATCCATGGCATAAAACTCAGAGGCTGCAAAGAACTTCATTTGCTTTTGAAGGATTTGATTGCACGAATTGTATGGCAGGATAAGAGTTGTATGGGCAGAGGCAGAGCTGAACAAGGTTCAGCACTGGTCTTTGCCTTGCTGTGTTGTAGGCAAGCTGCGTCTCAGCTTACAGGATCTCTCAGCTAGTACTTTTTGATTAACACAGTGGACTCAGTTTTACAGTCCCTCTGTTTAAATAACCCTCCTTGAAGCCTGTGGCATTTCTAGATGCAGAGAATTTGCAAGAGTGAGGGCCTTGAGAGCAGGTTATACTGAACGGATTATTGATCTTCTGTTTCTTAACATTCACTAATATCCTCAGATCAATGTTTTATATTATCCAGCATGTAAAAAATGATTTAAAAAGCTGTATGCACTGCACCTGTTTTTTACTTTTCTTTTTTTTTTTTTTTCCATTTTTGTAATGTAATACATATAACTTCATGTTACATTCCTTGGTCTTGTGATGTAAGTCACATATTACTGCCTGTGCTGATTTTCTTTCCACTAAGTAGTTCTTTCTCTTAGAATACTTCTTTTTTATTAATATTCTTTTTTTTACATTTTTATACCTGCTTCCTGGTGATGGTTCCTGATTGCCTGTCTTGTCTGATAACTGACGTTCATTAATTATTTACAGAGAAAAAAAAAAAAAATCAAACAAAAGCCTCTATTGCAGCCTGATCCCATCTAGAACTTGTTAAAAACAAAACAAAACAACTCTTGTTACTACTCAACTATGTAGTGTTGCCACAAAAAAAAAAAAACACCTGCCAGCCTCCTCCTCCTCCTCACTTCAGTGATTCCAATGTTTGCTGTCTTCAGTGGTGTATAGATTCCAGACATCACTGCAAGAATGCAAACTTCTGCAATCCCATATAAATACTTTTTGACCCTTTGTCTAACATATTTTGTCTTTGCTTAACTAATCCTTTTATTTTATTTTTATGTTTGCTGCATGTGAAAGTCCCCACTTTCATTTTGGTTTTTGTTTTGCTAATAAAGCAATTCCTTTTCTGTATAGATCATTTTATTTACCAAGCTGCTGCTTCTCCATTGCTCTCCTGTATGAGAAATCTTTATTTTTATTTCACTTACTGATCACCTCTTCCCACACTTTTGACTGTTTCTGTGTATTTCTAATGAAGCATAACCAAAGTCCTCATTATGCTGTCTGAAACTCTTACCTATAGGACATCAGAGACTACTTTGTACAATGACATTTTCTGACATCATCTTGCTCAATGCATGCTCATAAGTTTACTAAACCCTGTTCTTGCAACATCCTTTCTAGCATTGAATGTTTAGCTAGTAGTGTTTCATAGACAAGCAGGCAACCAGCACTGCCCAAATTGATCTTTTTTGTGTTTGTTTGGTTTGTTGTTTGTTTATTTTTGTTGTTGTTTTTGTTCAATTTGCATGCTGTTGTTTGGTTCCTCTTCATGATGTGTCAATGTGTACAAGACTATGGTGCATCCATGCCCATCCATCACCGGACTCTTGCTTTCTCTGTTTGTCTTGGTCTTCCGCCTGCCAATTTCAGATCATGACGCCACCACTAGCCTGAATCACTTTACAGTTTGTCTTTAATAGGTTGCTTAGCTAGCATCCTTGAATTTTAATTTCCATCATTAACACTTCTCTGGGGTACTCATGTTAGCTGCCTTGTTCTCCAGTATTAATCAACCTTCATGTATCTGATTACTTTGTAGTTGACCATTCTTCCTCCTCCCCCTCTTTCATCCTCCTTTCCCAAAACTCCCTTTAATTTTTTCCTGGGGTCTTTAAGGGAATTAACTCTCTAACGGGGATTTAGTGCTTTCATGCCTTGCTTCTTGGCTTTGGCTGTGCCATGCCAAGAAACTGTCTTAGGCAGTGGAAAATTGGGCTTGTGATTAACCAACTGCTCCATGTTTGTCCCTTACTTGTGTTTTAGAGAAGGATGAGGCTGCAATTGAGAGTTCTGAGTACAATGCCACGTCAGTAGCTGATGTGGACAAGCGGGTGAAACGGCGGCTACTTATGGGTAACACTTTTCTTCCACTTCCTTTGTTGTGCTCTCACTTTTGTCTGTATGTGCGTGGGGGGTGGGGGGAGAGTTTCTGTTTTGGTCTCATTTGGTCCTTTTGGTTTTGATTTGGTTTGTGTTTTTTGTTTTTGTTTTTTAGCTGACTTTATCTGTGTTGAAAGGTCACCGATTTTGTTAAGTTCTCATCTGTTGTACAACTTCATTTCTCATTTTTAAACTTTATTTTCCTAATGCTGAAGCATTAATGTTCAGTTTCTTCTGCATAAAAAGAAGCTTTTGCCATTAACCTTACTTACCTTATGCAAGCTACTTCTTACATGTGAATCGTGTGTGTTTGTGTGTATGTGTTGCTCTAAGATTCCTAAAGAATCTCATGTTGCAGACTTGCCTTTTGACTTAAAAGTAGATGATGATATAAAACAATGTTCTATTACATATGTGGTGTTAAACAAACAACTGAATTTGCCTACTTTTGATAAAAATGTAAATATTATGACTGGAAATTGATTTTATTTCCTTTGTGTACTGTATTAGTAATTGCTGAAAGATTTTTTCCCTAGTGACTAGTGAGCTTCCTTATGTTCTTCTTTCAAGACTAAAGCATGTCTTGTTTTTCTGTATTGGTGGAGCCTGAGAGTGGAAGAGATGAGGATGTGCATTGGACAATGAAGATAATTCTTTAGTTTCTCTAGTTAACCCATTGCTCACCTTTGTGCTAGTCTTCTTATGTTACTTTTGTGGCCATTAGTGAGAACGACCTCTTGATAACTTGACAGGGTAGTGGCTGAATCTCTACCAGATTCTTTTCATGTGACAAAGGACACAGGGTAACATAGACTGCTGAATGATGCCAGCAGTTTGGAGGCTTCCAAGTGGTTTATTACTCTGTATTTTCCATTCTGATGCCCTATACGCCACATACAATATTTCTATTAGTTTTAATCATAGCAATCATTGATGAGATATACCCAGTGAACCATTTACAAGATAGGGGTTCTTCACTCACATAAGAGATTATGGCATGATGAGATTCTGCTCTTTTCCCTTCTGGTTGTTTTTTCCTTTCCTAAAAACAGTAAGCCTATCACACACTCTGCCCTGCTAGCCCTTGGCAGGCTCAGCTCTGGCTGTAAACATCTTCACCTACCTAGAAGAACCACCTTTGGAAGACCAGAAGTCTCAGTTTGAGTTAATTGTTGGGCTAATAGTTGCAGTAGGTGACAACACTTGCACAATTTTCATACCACGTCATATCTTCTCACCCATGCTAAACCATCCACTTAATCATAGGACAGCAGACAGACCCTATGTTAGAAATCACAGGGTGTTGTTAAGTCTGAAATTGTATTAGATGATAATATTGAAGTAAAATATTTTCCCTCTTGTGAACGCCTGTGCATATGTTCCTTTATTTTTAGAATATCTGTGCTTGTTAATTTGCAATTCGCTCACAGATCTAGCAAGTGACCCATAAAAATTTGTTTTTTAATGGTGCCCTGTTTAAACTGATTTAAGCTGACAAAAGCTATGAGGCAGCTCATCTTGCTTTCTAAAGGTGGTAGTAACACTTCTAGTTGTAATTCCAGTGAGAGCCATCATCGCACAGGAAGTCAGTAAAAAATCATGGAAAGGACCTATATACCATTGGAAAATGCAGTACTCAAGGTCTATCTACAAAGTGAAATTACCCAGCCCATGTAAAATGTGGTTTAGAGGGACTGAGCAGCATAGTGTACTGCTTCACTACTTTGCCCTCTGATAGAAGCAATTATCCAACCTGAGAGTAAGTTCACAGTGCTTACAAGAGTTCAGGCACAGAATTAAAAAGATATTATGAAAAACAAGCTTCTTAGTTACACTAGGCCTGCAAGTTCCAAGACAAAAATAGACTCTGTAAGTAGGTTTAGGGAGATAGTTAAAAAAATCAGTTTGCAAAGCACATTGTATAACTCTTCAGTACTTCCTGTATCAGCCGGTATTGGCCAAGAGCTGACAGTTTCTGGACAGCCCCTGTTTGAACAAGTGATTGCTTAGAAGAACATTAACTAGGGTTGTACAGAAATTTAATTAGAAACTGAGACTTGAGTGGGTAGCTTACTATTTAGGGACTTATCTGATTGTTTATTTCTACTCTATGTTATGATACTCATAAAATCCATAACTGATTTTTTAATAGAGTTTTATTACATTTAAAAAGTGTAGTGCATTTCCATAAAATTCCAAATTTCTTCATGTGCTTTCTAAACAGTTGTTCTAGAAAGCACTAGAAAGTTCCTCAGAAAACCTTACCAGCTCTTGCAAATGGACTGCTGCAGGCAGTCTTGGAAAAGTAGGAAATGTTGATGACTATGTAATTTTAGTAATCGGATGAAAGATGCCTTCTATCACAAGCCCTGAGACGATCACTACTAGTCCTCTGTCATTTGCTGTATTATTAAAATAACTGTGATCTTCATAACACTTAATATCAGTACAGGCTCAGAACAGTCTTGAGTTAGATTACTTTGGGAGAACACAACTGCTGTCAGATATGAGTGCCAGTGCCACTAATTTCCTACAGGAAGAGTGGCTGCTTCAGTATCTCAGACTGACTCTTAGAAGGGTCTGTGTCCTAGTCATGGTGTGGTTTGTGACCTGCAGCTAAATCTTAAAAAGAGAAAACTAGATATACACACTCCATTCCTTCCTGCCTGATTTTTTTTTTTTTTTGAAGTCTTGTGAGGCAGACAAGAAACTGGTCTTCTTAGATGATCTGCAAGAGACTTTCCTTTAGAGCCATCCAGTGATTCTTAGAAATTTTCATCCAATTTCTTTCATAACATTGAGAAATACTGCAGGCTTCCATCTTTTCTTTTACCTCCCCTGTTGTTAGCAAACTACTTGGGTTTAGAGTAAAGAGTTCTCTCATTAAAAAGATGTCACTGCATTTTCTCCTGTCAGTGAAATGTTTTGCCATATTGATCTTCATACACCTTATTTACATTTCCTTCACTTCCACTTCAGTTGCCATTTTAGAGGGAAACCTTTAATTGTATTCCATCCAGATGGACTTCTGCTGTCTGCCAGAATTATGGATACTGAGCCACTGTTTGGTCTTAAGTCTCAAGAAGTCCTCATATCCTAATTAAGGTAATACTTTGCTCTTTGGGGAGTCTACGTCAACTCTTAGAAGCAAAAAAAAATATGTTTGTTTGTTTGTTTGTTTGTTTGTTTTATATTTAAAAATACAGTCACTTGCTGCATTGTTGTCACAGACCTTACTAGACATATAAATCAAGTTGCTTTAGCAACACCATCATGGTATGACCCAACTCCTATCCCATAGGGTATTTCTAATGTCTTATTATCTTATCTTCCTATATGGTCAGAACTTTTGAAGAGGTTGGCCTGACCCATTTCTCACCATGTTTCATTTCCCTCCCTGTACTCTCTGCTACTCAAGCAGATCAGGTTGATTTGGGCTTGAACCCATGTAACTTCAGAACCACTGCAAAGGCTCTCTGCATTTCTCTCCCTCACCTTCTGTATACCTTTTCCATTCTTCCCAGAGGTCACTGTTGTAAGATCCCACTTTGGCAACAGAATGTTCTTCCTCTGGTTCTGGAAGGTATAAGGCTGGTTTCTTATCTCAAGAAGACAGTTATACAAAGTTTCTTTTATTATATCAAAGAACAAGGAGCACTGATTGCATTGATCCTGCCTTGAACTTAAAGGAGTGCAGTAACTTCCCTTCCATGTTAAAGGCCAGAATAATGGTGCAAATGGTAGTAATACCATCACTACAAACATCTTTGTAACACCCAAAGCGGGCACTGAAATTCACTCTTTCACAAGATGTGCTCATCTCATTGTAAGTCAGGGCTTCTAAAGGTTTTGCCAGTGGGCACTGGCTTCTTGGATCATCAGTAAGGCTATTGGCAGCCTGCTTCAGATACAGGAATGTAATTCTTTTTCTTTCCCTTGAAGATGATTCTGTGATTCTAAGCTGGCTCCCGAAGCCCTTACAAACCATTTTACTGTCAATTAAAGTGCTTGTATAAGCAGTGAAGTATATTGGAAATGTTCTGGACTTTGTTTTTGCTGAAGCTTACCTCTGCCTAGATTGTTTCTTCAGTGTAGGAAGCACTTTAAGTGATTTGTTAATACACACCAACAAGGACCAGCTTTTCCAGGCTGTAGCTTACATGTACCTGTATTACATTCCATCCCTGATTTCCTAAGAGTGACTTACAGGCAGGTCTTTGGTCAAGTTGCCCAAGTCCCCATCCAACCTGGCCTTGAACGCTTCCAGGGATGGGGCATCCACAGCCTAAAGTGGTACCCTAAAGTGGTACCTGACTTTATATCTTCAGTTTATTTTTTCCTAAACCACAGTTATCTAAGAATAAAGCTATCTTATTTACACTGGCCACCAAGCATGATTTGACTTTGTTTTGTTTAGGAGCAGGAACCTAAGGAGCACTCTTCCCTCACCTGATTGCCTCCATGGCAGAATAGTACCTAGTTATACTTATTTCCACCCCAGGTTATCACTGTAGGTATCAGATGTATACACACTGTAGGTATCAGGCCATGTTGTTAATAAGCAGGGGTAGAACCATCACATGCAAGCTGAACATCCTCCAATCAAGGTACCTCATTGATTTTGTGCCTAACGTTAACAGAAAGGCCATCTAAAGCACCATCTCTGCTTCTGCAGTTTTCCTTCAGAGGCTTCTAGGTACTATGCAGCTCTTAGCAGAGCAGTCTTCTGCATTCCTCATTTCTGATGAAACAAGATTTCCCTTCAGGAAGCTTACATGTACATAAGTCAGGGACTCAAGAAGGCAGACGCCCAGAGGGCAGACACCTGGTGTGTAAATGTCATATTGATAATCATGTGAAGAGAAATGAAGGTCACTTACTTGAGACATGTTGCCATATGCACATTCATATGGTAAGCGACCCTTCTCCCCTTCTTTCTCTTAGTCCAATTGAAAATTCTTGGGATTCCAGAG